CTCAGCTGCCTGGTAGCCCAAGGTTTAAGATTTTTCATGTTAATATTTAAAGTCCCAAGAGGATTGCATCCCAAGTGCTTTTTTGAGCTTCTGATGCCCTGTATTCCATTTCAATCTTGACGGTTAGGAGAGAGAGATTTTGGGCCTGAGGGCTTTCTGAAATGGAATGAGCTGAGTGTACAGTATCTTTTCCTCTGGAGTACTGTGTGTGTGGAATATTTTCCCTCCAGAGCTCAAATGTGTCACAAATTTAGTATATTTAAAAATATGCTTTCCACCTATAACCAGAAAGCTTTGTGCAACAATGCTTTTAGTTGTAATTATTTCACTGTTAGTAGTTATGATTTAAAGTAGCAGACTAAGGAAGAAAGACTGCGGAAATGTTCTAATCTTATTAAAGAGTCATCACTCTTTGCCTTGGACATTGCTTATGAAAAATTATTAATTTGACTTTTTCAGCTTACTTCCCAGTGTTTTTGAGAAACTTTGAGCGGCTATTATGCTTGCTTATTTTAAATCATAAATATTAAATGCTTCAGACATAAGATTTTTATGCTCTTCACTTGTAAAATGCACAAAGGGCAAGCTACTAAACATGCTGAGACTCTTTTGCTAAAGGTATCTTTACTACTCTACCTGTATTTCATCTGCCTGTCATGACTACAAGATGAGTAAATCCGAATTCATCCTCACATCCAGTGAAATCCTGACAGGTTTACTTACCTTGAGTAGGATATAACTGTATCTGAGGTCCTGCTGAAGACACAGGTAGTGTGAATAAACTATCAGAATACAGCACATTCAAATTAGTGGTCCAGATCTGCAGCCTTAGTTCAAGCGTTAGTCTGTTATAGGTAGGAGTTTTTTCTGGTCAAAGGCCACAGAATCTCCCATTTGTTTTGTTTATTTCGATCTTCCTATCAATAAGGTACAGTAAATGCTAAAATGTTTATTCAGACTTTTCTATTGCTCTTACTTTTGGCATTGTATTATACTATGTATAAATTGGTTAGATACAGTCTTACAAAATTTTTCAACCAGTACTACACTTAAGTCAATTATGTAAAGTTTGGCAGTTGTTCTTGCCCAGCCTATTACCACATAAAAAAATACTGCTGCACTGTCATTCCTTGATATTCAAAAGCAATAAAAAAATCTTTTGGTAGTTCAGATAAAATGCTTTCTAAAGTAAAACAAAACTAATTAAAATAATTTTTGTGTTAGTTTCTAAAGTAAAACAAAACTAATTAAAATAATTTCTTTGTGTTAGTGGTGGCATTGAAAATACTATATTTATATTTATTTTATGAATTGGTGGCTTAAGCAGCACTGAAGCCATGTTGGAAAGTGTTAGAATATATTCTGTCATTTGGCTCAGCTTTAGGCAATTATACATGTAAACATAGTTACTATGGTAGTCTTTTTTTGAACACATTGGTCTCAAGTTTATGACAAATGAATCTGCAATGGGTTTTCCTGACACCTTTTTGAATTGAATTAATCCAATATTAATTTATTTTAGATGTGCCAGAAGCATCATCCTATTACTAATAAGTTGAAATAGACAGCGGGAAATGCAGATCTCTTCCTAGCGTTGCCAGAATGCATCTCTGTGTGTATCCAGCAATCTGGGTGATATGTTGACAGAATGAGGCCAGCGATGCAAATAAAGGAATTTTCCCCCCCTCTCTCCTTGCAGTAAATACACTCATTTTTACATGAAGTTAGAGAATGCAGTTTATCGCTTGTCATTGACTAACTCACTGACTAGAATTTCTACAGAAAAATCAAATTAAGAGAGAAATAGCTTCTATATTAGCATTACTACCAAATGTTTAATTTGTGTATTAAGTGACAAGAGTATTTATGTTTCAGAAAGTACAGTTATTTCACTTGGCTTATCAGCCACCTAAGACTGAAGTAGCATTCTCCACGTACATACATTCCGGGCTAGATCCTTAGCTACAAATTAGAGTAGTTTTACTGCAGTCACTGTAGCTGACTGAAGTCAGTGCCACTTCATGTTAGTGGAGCACATGAATCCAAATGCTTCTATTAAATATCAAATAAATACTTCTTTTTTAAAATGGAAGGTGAATTTTTTTACTATCCTCCAAAAAATATCCTCAAACTTTATGCTTGCTATGTGTGTTAGGATTAGCTATTTTGTCTTAATTGCTTACAAGCTTGTACTCTGATTCCCTGGCATACTAACACAGCACAGAGACAAAATTTATTTATTTTTGAAAGCCGTAGTATATATTTCAGCTTTTACTTTTCTCAGATCAGGAAAGCTCAATTTAAGATCAAAACTATTTATTCCATGAAAGAGAAAAGCCAGAATTCATTAATAAATGAAAAAAACCACAGAGAAGAATTGATGGATAGAGAAGAAAATCAAAGACAGTGGGTGACCGGCAGTGAAGTTGCGTTTATGTGAAATAAACATCCTGGGCTTTAGTATTTAAAGTGAGGTAACATAATCCTGTTCCCTTTGATCATAATATACAGATGATCGGGATAGGGAGTCATACAAGTATATGTAACTGTACCCAATACTTATTTGATAAAAAGGAGTCATGGACAAAGGACCCTAACAAGATAACAAGCTTCTGTATTTTCTGGCTAATTGTATTTAGTAGCTACAGAAAGCTGGATTAGTATATTTTATTCATACTTTTCTGAGTGGCTATATTTGTCTAGAATAATTACCATCCGTGACAACTGGGTTTTTGGAAAAAAATAGAGGACCCAGCACCTAGTAAAAGAAATTAAATGGGGCTTCCAAAGCTATTTTGCTGTTACCAATGGAATACATAACTGCAATTTGGCAAAAATCTGTCCTGCGGGTAATTTGAGGGGAAAAAAGGCACCTAACCACTCGTTTCCACACAAGCACCCTAAGAACTAGAAAAAAGATTTTTCTCAGATTGAAGCCTGAATGTCTGTTTGATGGAAGGGGAAAACCACTCTTCCCCAAACTCACAAAAGATGTTGCAAGCGGTCATTTGGGTGGCTGAAGCAGCCCTGATCTCTCTCTATATGTAATCTGGAGCACACAATACTCAGCGTGATTCAGCAGGTACCCATTTTAAGTGACCATAGTTTTATTTCATATGCCATTTTTTCCACTTGTGGAAATGTAAGACTTAGCTACCACCCTACCTAATCTTTGTATTTTTAATGCAAGTGTTTAATATTGTGAACTCTGCCCATATAACATTGAAATCAGCTGGCAAAAAGGGTATTTGCTATGAAAATATTTTTTCAAGGGAGAGGCGGGAGGGTGCGACACAAGGCATAAAAGAACTAAAAAGAAAGTGAACAGTTTTCTAATGCTACTAAAAATGTAGTAACTTTTGAATGGTAATTTCTATTTAAGACACTGAAACCAAAATATTTTTAACTTCTCAGATGAATTGGAATTTTAAAATTCCAGGTTTGTTATTAAACAATGCAGAGGACACCCACACCCACACACCCCCATTAAAGGAAATGAAAACACACAAAGTTTATTTTTGAAAAGTATGAAAGGCAGTTTACTTGAACCCTGTTCTGCTATGCTTACTGTACCTAATCAGGCCCTAAGTATATGACCCAATAGCCATTTTTTCCAGAGAATCTGTTAATCTATTTTATTCATTTTGTCGTATGTACACTTGACAAAGAACTTCAATCACATAAACATGGGTTGTTTGGCAAACACATAACGGATGAAGCTTACTTTGAATCTGAGCATACAATACCCATTGTCTGCAAGGTGAAAATATTAAGAGCAGTATATGGTGCTAGCTCACAGAAGATGCCTAGAGCATGGCCTAAACAGACTTTGGTTTATTAATACAACAAATAATAAGTTACAGATAGCTCATACTGGAACTGTTGCCCCTGGTTCAGTATGCCTTCAACAGGATCACTTTAGTGCACAGCTGTAGATTCTGCTTGTTTTTGGTTTAGACTGTGTATTTTGCAAGCTATGTATGATGTGTGCATGCATAACTATAGCCCAGGTTGTTTATGAGCCTTTAATCTTTCTTCACTCAAGGCAGCAATGCACCCCTGCAGTTTGCAGTGTTCCATCTGTGTCACTTGTCTCGAGTTGTAGATTTGTATCTTGGCAGAGTACAGAAAAGGTATCTTCAATCTTCCCGTGACAGTTGCACAGCATTTTTCTAGGCTGACAGTCCTTGTCAAATCAACAACAAACCCACTGCATCTAGTGCTGCTAATTTTCCGTAAGGAATTTAAAAATGCCCAGCACTTAGTGTAGAGAATTGTTACTTGGCATCCAATTTGCCTTAGTAGCACTGCAGCATTTCACCCAAGGACAGACATAATATATTCAACCTGTCCTACAGTATTGTAGTATTCTCTAATATGATGAAATCCAGTGTTTTGAAAATGTATATTCACATATGTCCCTAATAGCCTAATGATCATAAAATTAATTCAGGTATGTAGAATACCTAGATAATCCCTGGAGTAGCATGTTACTTAGTCCTGTGCATTGTCTTATCAGGCCAATCATAATTTTCATTTGTAACTGTGCCATATTATGTCAACAAATATTTAGCAGAAGAGGGCCTTCAGCTCAGGTTTTATTGCTTTCTAGTTGCCCTTGCCTTATTCTTTCCTACTGCAAGTTTGGCTGATGCATTCCCAATAGAAAGTTTACTATGGATCAAAATGTTCACATCAAAAGAGTTAAAAAATAAGAAAATCCTAGCCAGCCCAAGTGGCAAAAGGAATGGATTCTTAATTACCCGTGCTTCCTTTTTATTACTGCCATCTGATTTAAATCTGTAAGTCAGTGCTTTAGAGTAACAATGTAAGAGTTTAGAGTAACATTCTTCAGAATAAGAAAAACTGTAACATAGTTGTATTATCTAATGAAGAGAGAGAAAATACAAAGAGATAGATTGTTAAACTATTATCAGTCCCTATATAAAAATGTTCTTCACCGAGAACTGCAATAAACAGAAGTAGTAGTCTTAATTCTGGTGTGATAACTCTCTACTTTTATTGTAGTGTGACTCAAGCCACCTTTTTATCTCAGAGAAAACAATACAAAACCATAGAAATGTCCTTTGAGAAACACTGTACCACTGGTAAAGCTTTTACATTAAGATGTTTTTCTTTAAACACTTACCGAGAGGTTTTTGTAATGGAACTAAAAGAACATACAATGTAAAAGTGTAAGACCATTTTGCATCAGAAAATAGACTTCATAGTACTTGTTACATGGGCTAATACATGAGATACTGTACACTTTACACCACATCTGTTTTACCAGGAAAGTATGATTTATGTCAGTCTGTTTTAATCTGTTGTATTTTCCCTAAGTAGCAGATTCAACTTCAAGTACTAATTTATGCGTTGCAGTTCCCTTAGTATCTTGGCTTCCAAAAATTTTTCAGGAATTGTGGTAAGCTCATGTCACTGTTAGTTAACCTTAAAGACATGACAATTCCTCTATAATCACCAAATGATACTACAGAGTCTTTTTATCTGCTGCTGGTTCTAACCTTTAAATTTGTTTTATAAAATAGCAAAACAATTTAGTAAGTTACATTGAAACTTGAAATAATCAAAGTGGAAATTATTTGGCCAGTAACTAAATATTGACCATTAACTGCTGGTAATGATTAATGTGCTAGGCAAATTATTACTGATTTTAATTCCAATGCATCTGTACAATTCTATGATAAAATTCAAACTTTTGAAGGAAATGAAGGATCAAATACACAAGTATAGAAAACAATAATCTACAGGAGTATAATCTTTACTTAAATAATTTAAATGTTCCTTTCCCTGCAAGGAAATGTTATTGTGAGTATTGTTATTGTGCAACTCTTACTATGAATCAAGGTATTGGGGGGGGTGTTTCTCTCTTTTTCTTTTTTTTTTTTTTAAACTCTGTTCCTATAAAGTACTAACCTGTATTTTTGTTTTTGACCACATAGATTAAACAAGAAATTACAGGTATTACAACAATATCAAAATTTTTGTCCAACTCATGAAAGCATCTGAATTGACAAAGGCAATTAGCAGTCAAACTTGCTGGAATCAACCCAATTTTTAAATTTCTTTTTGATGCGCTCTTGAAATGTGCATGAAGACTGAAAACTCTGTATGCGGATGCACTTCCTTACAGTAGTCAATCTAATTTTTCTTCGATGCATTTTATAGGATTATCTATTGGTTTTGTATCAAAAGGATACTGAAGGAGTTGATGTTGTGTAGCAGCATACAACGATGTGCACTAAGTGTATGCCCTCCGTAAAGTTCTCCACAATATTGCCTATGGATATTCCAAAAATGTCTCTGCTTTAACAGCTATTCTTTAAGAGGAACTGTAAATCCTCTATCACGGCTAAACTGTGAAAGAAAAGACCGGAACTCAGCCCAAGGCCTTTGAGCAGCTCGATACAGAGGATACAATGAAAAAATCCAACCCTCTTCCTGGTAAAACAATGGGGGTGAGTGCAACAGAGGAACCTCTTTGTTTTCTTCCTATCAGTTATGTACTAGGAGCTTTTTGGGGCAAAAACCTAGCTCTTATGTTTCCCAATGCTTTTTCTTTATGTACTATAGGAAATATATATAGCCCGTATAAAAAAAAATACTAACATTAGACTCATCTAGGTATTAAGTGTGGGTGTGCTGCTTATTGTGGCAAAGGCTAAATTGATCCAGTTACAGCTGCAGTTGCTTGATATTGCTAATTCTCAGTGATATTAGATCAAAGCAACTATAACTATGGCATTTTAACTAAAAAAGGAAAGGAACAGTTTAAAGTGAAAGCTTAATATTTGTGGAATGCAAAACAACATCAAAGAGCTGCTCAAATCATCGTGAATTCTGCAGTAGTCTTACACATGTGACTATGTCATCTGTTTCAGACGCTCCCAACAACCTTTGAAAAAACTGCATGATCTCTTTAAGCAACCTTCCCACATGAAATTTATTTCTGCAAACACCTCTTGAGTATCAGATAATGAGATGAAAGTCCTTTGATGACCCATTTGGAGAAGAATAGTTTATGGTTTGTTATCAATTGTGGAAATTCATAAGAGATATTTGTAATTTCTTAAATTGAGGACTGTCTTGTTAATAACATCTTTAAACTGATTGTGAGCCTCCAGTTCTTTCCAAAATTTGACTAGTTTTGAATTCCAAGTGCCAAAAATGGAGTACTTTTGATGTCAGTGTTACTAAAGTATGGCTCAGTGGATCTTCTGTTAAGTTGATCTGATCCCCCTCCTGAGGATGAGGACAGAAGGGTCATCTTTTGAAGACAGTAAGAACGGAGAGGGTCAGGACTGTATGAGATAATATTTTTCAGACCACAAAATGAGAAACTGATTGAAACAGTTTGTAATGTTAAATTATAGTCTATTGTATTTATTGAATTCTGTTATGCAGAGGTTAAGACCATTTACCAAAACAAAACTTCAGATAAGAATCTTGATTTATGTAAAACCAAACCAAAAAACCCAACCCCCTACTCAAATTATACTATGCATAATATATTTCTTCTGGTATTAGTAAACTCTAAAATGATCATTGAATTCATTCCATCAACTCTGTCCTTCCCAAAAACGCTGAGCAGGAATGAAGAGTGCTAACAAATCAAGTAGATATATGCATCACTAATCCATACAGATCTGCTCTCCTTGAAATGTAAATTCCAGAAAGGGACCTGCATTTTCAAAGATGCATACAGCTTCCGCCAACTGGTGTTCCCGCATTCAGCTCATTTTAAAGATTAGCTGTAAACTTCAGAGAAGAAGGAGAAAGACTTGATGCCTGCAAGCATAAATAGAAAAAGACATTAGAATTTTTTTCTTTTTTTTTCTTGAAAGCCTGTGAAATTGAATGTGACACATAGACATGTGAACTCTTCAATTACTGACAACTACCTGAAACCTTTGTTAAAGTATACATTGTTTTCAAATTAGCTTCTTGCCAAAAAAAACCCCAACCAAAACGAACACCACCTTATTCAATACTATTGAATGGAATCATCATTGAAAAGAAGCAAAACAAGAAGAATATGGAAAGTTTTGGAGTGTGTAAGAAACAGAAAGCAGTGCTGAAAGAAAAATTACAATCTATGATATAAACTGCTGGTATGTTGCTACCTTCAATACTGTATTTCTGAATTAGTGGACTGGAATGAGTTTTCATTCATCAGTGAGATTGCATTGGTCAGAAAGAACAGGCTATGTTAAACAATATAGGGGATCTGGATTTGGGGCTTCTGTTATCAGATAAAAATGTTGTGCCCACAAAATACAAAGTGTTGGTCCAATATAAGTACCCTGCTGATTTAGAGTTCAGAATTTTTCTGGGTTAACTTTTTACTTGACAAATGACAAAGAAGGTATTGTTAGACTACAGAACTGTAATTATTACAGTTTGCCTATCCAATGTCCTTGTAGAGATGGTACAAGACCAGCATAAACATCCTGTTTTCACTAATTTGAAAGAAATACATTCATATTTCCACACCTGATTCAGGTCAACTTTGTACTTCTGAGTAATGCCCAGATCTGATCAATATTAATGATTAAGAAGCCACAATCTCAGCAAAGGTGGAAGAAGTAAATTACAATTTGGGCCATCTGTAGAAATCAGAGATGTAGTAAATAATCATACTTCAGAATGATAATGTCAGAGGTTAATTATATACTAATGACAAATAAATATAATTTTCTCTCATATGTACACATACAAGTAGCGGAAGAGATAAAGAATAAGATTTATTACATTATTTTTAACATTTTACATTTATTGAGGGAATATTTAATGAAGGCTATTTCCACATAATCTGGCTGGGTCTGATTCTGTCCAGCTTCAGTGGAATACTGCTACCTGCCTAACATCTAAGTAGCCCCCTCATAAAGTATTAGAAGCCTAAAAATTAGCACTGCAATACATACCTTTTGGCCTGTGAAGTGGAAGACGTGAATCCCACATTAGGAACATATACTCCTGTAGGCTGAACAGTGGCTTAGACAGAAGGACTCAGATCCAGGATCCTCACTGGGATTAGGTGGAGTTTGATGCTGCGATGCTCAGAGTGGGCCCACACAACGACAGCTCACCAGTGTTCTGAGAAGCTTAAAGAGGAATGCACCTAATGAATGCTTCTACTCTGGGGTGCACCAGAGTTTCTGGATTGCAAGGTACAATGTCAAACAAGCACATCTGCATCTGTAGTTCTATCTGGCACCATATTTAACATTTCAAGTTGATTTTCTTCTTTGGTATTGATATATGTTTACATGAAAAAGGAGAACAGACCAGCACAATGCCATCAAAATAAAAAAAAAAAAAAAAAAAATCCTAATGCAGGGGTATAGATGGGTGTGGGTTTTATATATAATCTGAGTATGTCATACTTAGCATACTGAACACAGTGTCTGAGATATACAGCACAACAAGGTGTTATTTTAACTTTGAGAACATCCCACGGTCTGCATTAGAAATGACAAAATAAAAATACTCCATGTTTTGGAGGGCAAGCAAATAATTTTTTTTTTTTTAAACAAGAATCAATGTGCCAATGGAGATATGTAAACTAACGCCAGGAGAGCAATAGAATAACTAGTCACAGAATACAAACATGATTAATATGGTAGTACTAATGAAGAGCTTTTCCATTCAAGAGCAAAGTGACATAATTTATATAAGCAAATATTTGTACAGTTGCTGATATTAATAAATTTTTGCATTAATTTTTTTTTTTTTAGTGTATAGGAAAACAGTGTAAATTGAGGTTGCCTGGGATATTTTAACTTCTTTACATTCAGAGCTCTCACTTAAAGCTTCTTCAAACAGTTCATATTCTTACTTTGTTTGGAGATTTTTTTTTACAAACCCAAGATAGTAAGAGTGTGGTTTAATACTAATGATATACGGACAGGGAGCTTCTAGTTCACCTATTCAAAATCATAGGCAAAATAGATTCCTTTTATTATTAATTAAGAACTTCGGCATATTAACAGAGGATGAATTATTTATTTGAGCCACTACATATGCCCCTGTTTTAACATACAATTTAACTTACTGTATGAAAAATTCTAGTAATCAACAAACACCACTATCGCTGTGCGTGATATAAAAAATACTAACAAAAAAAATACAGAACAGTTAGAATAATACCATTTTCAATATTTACATTTTTTACACTGTTAGAAGCAGTCATTTTTCTAAAACAGCACAAATCTTGCAACAGATACATATCTGAAATGTCTGCTGAAGTTAATGTATTTGCATGATGAGAGAAAGAAGATCAGAACGTGACTCACAGTAATCATACAAATTCGTGAAACCTATTTTTCCCAACATAAAGGGTACCATTTCAATGAGTTAACAGATGTGTTACTCCAATGAAGCATATAACCAGTATGTTACGTTCTCATAATACGAATCTCTACGGTTTAGAAAGGTATGTTTGAAAGAGTTTGTTTCAGGCCCTTTTTAAGAAACATTGATTCCAAATGCATTAATGCCAGTCAAAGGAATGATTAACCATTCTGTAAAATTTTGCATTGTGCTCTCTGAAGTACGAATACAGTTGCTCTAAAACAGTGTTGTTAACAAGAGGATGGGGGCGCCCCTTGGATTCATGTAAACATCTCTCCCTTCCATCACTTCTAATGCAGTAGAATCCCTTGGTCTGGTTAAAATAAAAATTCGAAGACATAATTCGGGAAGGAAGATTTAGAAATCTTTCAACTTTTTGTAATTCAGGAAGAGGGTCCTTGATTAAAGTATTGCCATCCACTATGTGAATCTGATCCAAACTGAAATGCTTAAGCCACTTTTCCATATGAACATCATATAGACTTCTCTGAATAGCTTTGTATTTGGTATTAAGTGCTCCATTCTTAATAACAATATCTTCAAAAAGCTGAACAGGCTTGTGGCTTTCTACTCTGCTGTAATACACTTGGGTATAGTCAGATATAACTCTCTCAGTGGGATCTCTTAGAATGAGCAGCAGTTTAATGGAGCTATTCATGTCATGAATTCTTTCTGGAGCCTGTGGTGATGTAAAATAGCCTGGTGTTTTCTCAATTGTAATTTGATTTCCATAAGAAAATGGCATCAGACTTCTATACCAGTCTATTCCTTTCACGTAATTTTCATCCCAGTCAAAGAAGTGGACTTCTGTAGCTGCTACCACAATATTAGGATGAATATCCAACATTTCCAGCAAAGCCCTTGTCCCTCCTTTACGAACTCCTATGATGATTGTCTGAGGTATTTGTCGGCTTGTGCCAGGAGGTCTCACCTGTGCCGAATAGTGTTCACTTTTATTGCTGAATAATCCTACTTGTGACTTCAGTGTTTCCAACAGTGCCCCATTCTCAACAGGAGCACCCTGAGCATGAGTCAGCAGAAGATAAGCTGACACTAGTAGGAAGGCCATGTGGAGAGGAATAGTTAGTTGAAGATAATGTGATGCTCGGCTAATGAAAGAATAGGTAAATCCCCTCTCGAGCTGGTTGGCAGAACCCGTGGTAAACACACAGCAAGTTTCTGAAGCATCTACAAAATAAAATAAGACAAATCAGTATTTCTAAACCCATCACCAGCTGGAAATTCAACTCAAAATTCAATTCACATACCTAATCTGTGATCACAACAGAAAATTTATACCGGTTACTTGTTTTCCCTGACTATTTCAGAAGAACAAAAAAAATCCCCATGTGTTTTTCTTCCTTAACCATAGGTGACCAATGATGGATACTTCAACAGCTTTTATTTCCTCTAAACAGAACATTAGAATTGTTTACCTGATTTTAAATTCCTGACCATTATTTGCTTGCTTTGATTTCCCTAGTTCTCTTCCATATATACCATATACTTCTCTTGCCATATAGACCATACCCAATATGATATTAATAATAATTCCAAAGCATTTGTGAATGTCAATGCCTTTCCCCAAATTGCCTGCTAGAATAGTATATCCTAATCTAAATCGTAGCACTGGATGGTGGTGCATCCATTTGGTTTCCAGTGAGCCATGGATCATACAAAAAACATTCTGTTTACCTAGACACAGAAAACAAAGCACAGATATAGGCAAAACTTTGGAATCTGAGCCATTTAGAGTAGAAAATAATAGTGTGGCAAATCAAGAGTCAAGTGGCTGAGTTGGATCAGTGTGGAAAAAATAAATGAGACAGGGTGGATTCTTTGCAGCTATCCAGGTGTTGTAAAGCATAGTCACTTAAGTGTTGGGAAAATCTTCGCAAAATCAAACCTTCAGATAATATTCTTCAGTTCCTCCAAAGCTCCATATAAGAAAGATCTAGATGCTTTCCAGGCACCTAAAAACTTTTGCAGGGAAGCAAGTCTGGTTGGAGCTGGATACTTTCTTTTTCTTAATCCACATAGCATACAATCATTTTAAGGAAGTAGTAAATGTTAAATCTCTTAAAAATTTGAAAAAAGCTTCAGGCTTGCGTGTATGGGCACGTGCACATGTAAGTGAAAGAAAATATCACTGTAACTGTGTTGCTAACATTTGAAATCTCTTGGGTAACTCTTGTATATATCATTTGAAACAGATTGCTGACAGATCTGCCATCACAACAGCAGTGATAAAAAATTCAGATCAATGCAACACCAGCACTGGAACCACTATGCTTGGATGGCCTGTTTCTATGTCTGATAATCTTACAGGACAAATCCTCATTGAGAGGATTCTTGGACTTCATCCCATTTCTGAGCAATTATAACATTTTAAGATTTGTAGGACAGATCTATATCCTTAACTTATTTTGTTTTCAATGTAGAGTGTGGAAACAAGCTATTTCATACAGTGAAGCAGCAGTCATTTTAAAAACAATAACTGGTTTTGGAATCTATTTGAATTATGGCTCATATTTTAAAGTAGTCTCAGAAATACTACAACTTCAGCTCCTTCTTCAGTTCCACTGTCAGTTAGTCTCTTTCTTTTCCTGAATATATTTGTCACAGTACTTTGCCTCTTGGAAACAACCTTAGAAAACACAGCCAGTTCCCATTTGTCATGGCTCTGAGGAGCACTCAGTATTTCTACTTAAAAATCATTTACGTTGGGGCTTACTTTACAGACTTAAACATTTAACATAAGAACATTTTTGATAATAACAGTCTAGGCAATGTAGCAGATTCATTAAATCTATTTTCTAAATCTTATTAAAACCTACTCCAGCTTCTTGGATATCTAGGGAATGACTCTTGTTAGCCTGAATGAGCTCTAAACTCACAGACAGATAGGAAATATTAACCCACGTTGGGGCTTACTTTACAGACTTAAACATTTAACATAAGAACATTTTTGATAATAACAGTCTAGGCAATGTAGCAGATTCATTAAATCTATTTTCTAAATCTTATTAAAACCTACTCCAGCTTCTTGGATATCTAGGGAATGACTCTTGTTAGCCTGAATGAGCTCTAAACTCACAGACAGATAGGAAATATTAACCCTAAAATTGCCATTTTAAAATTTTAAAAATAAACTATGACATTTAGTGAGTAAATCTGTGGAGAGCATTCCCTGTTATGTCCAAGCAAGACCTAAAGGGCAACTGCTTCTTCAAAAAGAGCACAGCTTCAACCAGGTAAAGTGTGTCAGCATACACTTATTGGGAAAGTCCAAGTACAAATAGGCTTTGTAATCAGAGACCAGAGAAAATACTGTTCTCCTTTACAAACCTGAAAGGAAGTTTCATTTTAAAGGTCGCAAGTTTTTTACTAAGAATTTCACATGGAAGTTCTATTTAAAGTTCTCAAGAGCAGGGAATGCAAGCATTTCTATGGCAATTACAGGATGGAAGAACCGATATGTTTACACCAAAACCATTTGTAGTTACGTTTTTCAGAATGACTACTCTTTTGGATGGCAAGTTTGGGAAATGGTAAACATGCTCTTTAGCGCTGCTGAGGAATCAAAATGCATTCTTCTATAATGGCAGCTAACGTTGGTTTTGAAAAGCTCCATAGAATGTACACCGCTGACCATGCAATTTGAGGCATCGCACCCCCAATGACTCCTGAAATACCAGCCTTCAAATGTTAAGCATGATTGTAGGCAGTGACTCTGCTTTAATAATTTCGAGCCAAATTTTTGGTGATTCACAAAGTTCCTAAACAGTCCATTCTGAGTAAGGATAGAGCCATGCATAAGATGGTTTTGAAAACACTTCCTCTCTTCTCTGAAGTAGGAATATATGGCAGTACGGCTGCTTCCAGACCTGCGATGCCAGTAGGCGGGGATTTGGGAGGGGGGGCAAGGGAGCAGTGAGCAGTTAATCTTTCTTTTAACCTGTTCCAAAACCCCAGTGTTAATTTACATTCTAGTCATCTTCATTTTTAAATTAAAATTATTTCAGGAAGCTTGAGGAATTGTTTTTGTAAACACCTTACATTTTTTTTCAATTTACCTTTTTTGTGCTGATACACACAGCACATTATACATTATAATGCATATACACCTGTATATATTAGATTAGATTACAAGCACTTTGAAACTAAGGCGAGACCAGCCTGAATGTCTGCCAAGCAAGGAACGCCTTGCAAATACCAAGGTGGAGACATATAGTTCATTATCTAATTTAAATTCCGGAACTATCCCATCTTGAAACAGTTTTATGAACTGATTCTTGACAGACATTTTAGGCAACTTTATTTAACCAGAAAGAAAATTATTTTTAGAGTTTTTGAGAAGAAGTATTCTTGAGACTAACTAGGTTCATAGCTTAAGCAAAAAATAGAAGGGGAGAGAAGAAAGAAGGAATTTCTCTGAAATAAACTAAAACCAGTGTAAAGAAAGATAAAAAAAGTATTTGAGACTGGGGACTCTGCAGTAGTATAGACAGAGGTGTGTGCTCTTCCTAGATCTGGTGTTAGATGAAAAAATGTTCAAATTCACTTTTTAATTTTATTTTAAAAACTCCCAACACACTAATATTGTTTTATCCCTAATTAACTGATAGTTTTCTGGTTTCATGCACCTAAGAATCAGGTGCAAGTACTGTCATTCAAAGAAGCCTGGAAGCTGAATGAGAAATTCATATTTGGAACTAAGGCAAGATCGGTCTTCCAAAATTTTCTCGGGTTCACATGTGACGTGAGTGAGAGTCGGTTTAATTAACCATCTGAAATCAGCAGTTCTCTATAAAACACACTTAGAAAGCAAGTAACACAAGAGATTCTGCATTTTCTACGGACCAAAGTATTAGTAGCATTTTTTAAAACAATTATGTTAGCTTAACCAGTTTGAAATTAATTAGTTGTTTTATATAGTGGAAATTTCTTAGAGTCATTGCTAGAACAAAACCTTACCCAGGAAATACTACCAGAAATAATCGAATCTAGAATGTGCTGTAAAGCTGGTGCCTAAATAGATCAAAATTGCCTTTGGGAGCAATTCCATCAGAACAACATTCCAGCTTCAGCCTATGATATTTGATTGATTTTGATGAAGCTCTAAGATGTTAGATCCTGTGGTTAGGTTATAATTGCAACATAAATGTAAAGGTTTTAAAGATGATTTATCAAACATAATTGGAATGTTATTTGAATGCTTTTTGTGTTGCTTTTCTGCCTTTATGCAATTAAATGCACATTTTTAGAAGATATGAACTCTTTTTATAATGAAAACAATATATTTTACATTGCTGCACTGCACACTCTTTGAATCTCAGAGTATTCCTAAGAAGTTAACCCCATGATACATAATCAGAATTATAGCGCCTTATTAAACGGGGTTTTTCCTATTATTTGGTAGTGTTGGTGTTGCTTAGTAACATAAGGAATGTCAACAGATGTGATACTTATAAGCAGAAATGAAGTTCAGAAAGAAATTCATACTGCAGAGAGGACTAATTAAGCAAATAATACCTTGGGCTTTTGTTTGTTTTACTTTTTTAAAACCTTAGACTAGACTGAGGAAGCTAATACGCTGGCTGAAAAATCATTTTAATATTGCAGAAATGTTCTAAAGACCCTTAACTGCTGCACTCTGTTGTAAAAAAAAACTTCTAAGCGGCTTATGATTTATCTTGCTTCAGGGTAAAGTACAACATCACAGGGTAAACCTAACTATATTATTATTACTAATTTACAATATTATTCATTCCTAATAAAACTTTCCACTGCCTGTAATGCTTTTCATTGGAAAATTTCACAGCGCTTTGTGTTGATGAACTGTCTGCACACTATTAAGGCACCATTCTCACCTTACAGGAAATTGCAACTGACCAACCTATAGATCCAGTTCAGGAGCGCAAATGCTTTGGAAAGTCAGGGTTAATGTGATCTGCTCAAGGTCATATAACAGGTTTATAGTCCAACCAAGAATAAAAACCCTAGGGCTTCCAATTCCCCTTCCAGTTCCAACTTTGTGCCATTTCATGGCAGCCACTCACATCTCTTATGGTAACTTATACTTGGGTTACACGCTGAACTGAAAAGCAAAGAGATTCCTCAACGCTTCAGCGTAAGATTCGAGTATTTCGTGGACTATGGCAGTCTCTTCCCACTTGCTGCCCCCC